ATATGTATATATATATATATATATTCTTAATGTTTCTAGAGATTTTTTCAAGTCATTTCATTTGGAAATTACCAATCATATCACATTCGTAGATTTCAGTTCATTATTTTAAGGCTCATTTTCTTACTCAGAAAAAGTTTCCAACGTTTCAGTCGTCAATGTGATTAGGAATCATTATTTTTCTTCTTAATGGACATTTCGATTATTGAGCATCGAACAAAATTATTGCACCCATAACGAATATTTTATCCATCGATTATTTTCTTGAGTTGAGATTTGAGTTTGTTATTTGACACATTTATGATCTCATCTGGTGTAACTATCTCAATCAAACGATGATTGATTTCGTAGTTTTCGATCTTATCACTGTAGTCGTACCAAACTGTTGGGTTCACTGAACAAAGTGACTGGAAAGCAGAGCTAGAATGCATCTAATTAGGCATGAAACTGCTATGGATTTAATCTCAAACAGTGATATAGCTAGCTACAACTTGAAAGTGTTTCATATGACCGCTTATTGCATAAACTTCACTTGTCTAAAAACAAAATGAATCTATCCTAATATTAATACAATCATGGATTCGATTTAACAACTCACAATTTATTATGCAAATTTTTTGAACGAAGACAAAAGTTTTGCGAAGTTACGAAAATCTGATTGTAATTTTCACAAGTTCGTTGGCATGCTTTGCGATACGTCTTTCCAAGAATGTTTAGAATGAAATAGGGCGGAACTTTTGATGGTATGGGGGGGGGGGGTTAGTAAAGGAAACTGGATGTAAAATATTCATTGCAAATGCGCTGTGAACGGAGCGGAATAAGCACATTTGAAGTTCATTAGCAGTTGATTACGACAGGATGAAGCCGATTTTTTTTTCATGTCATAGATTAGTGTCGCTGCTTTAGGCAACTACACAGCAATTAGCCTTATCCGACATCGTTCTCGTCATTCTCCATATATTGATGACTGAATGGCAGTACGACTCTGAAGCACCTGAATTTACCCACTCTCTCTATTTATTCCATTTTACCACTCATTATCTTCATCCACTGAATTAATAATTTGGATCAAATGAGAAATGGACGTCACTAATGACTGACGGAGATATGAAAATCAAAGTCATAATGTTTTTCTTTTTTATTCACTGTAGAGGTGTCGTTCCAGTCAACTGATGACTATGCAATAAAATTACTCATCGAAATCCAATAAGAATCAGGTTCCCAAAATTTTTGTGCAGTCAAACATTTCTGTCAGACGACTTTTGTTGGTGCTGCATCGAATTTAGTATGAAGTCATGTTTACAGTAGACAATGTATTTACGATAATAAACTAACAAGACGTATCATTTTTGCCTTTCAATCATTGCGTCAGTGCTGTCTGTCGCTGTATAAGTATTGTGGCTCAAAAAAGTAATCATTTTTCTGATTATATTCACCTAAAATTTGCGATACGGAGTACTCACAGTTCATCAGATCAACGACGTTGCTGCCAGACATATTCTGAAAAATGAACTTTTCACCTGAATAGCTCCGGTTTCATCCGTTTGACATGTTTGCATGAGCTGAGATCAGAAACGTAAACGGATATTCATCACATGAATTAAGCAACAGATTCAAAAGTAGACTTATATGAGGTGTCCTGTGTTATTGTGACTTGCTAATATTAGTAAATGGTGACATTGATTACTTCAGCTGTTCATTTTGTTTCAAAATACCCACGAGTAACATGAATTTAACTTTGTTGTGGATTGAGGTTATTTGGAGGAAAGTCACTTCTATAAATATATTTTAAGAAGTGTCTTCCATTGAGAATCAATATAAACTGTTGAAATAACCCTCGATTTGTTAATCCGTTAAATTAGCTGAATAGCTCCGATTCAGTTCATCAGAACTCAGAAATCAAATCATTCACAATGAAATTAATAAGTGGATTATTTACATAGAATTAACCTTTATCAATTCAGTGTTAGGTGAGCAGTGCTTCATGTTACAAATGCATTCATCAATCACTTGTAGGCAACTATAACGAATAGGTGGCTAAAATGGTGGAATTTTTTGGTGACTGCGTGCCATTCTTTTATTCAGTCAATGCACATCAATCATCGATTGAATTCGGATGATGAGATCAATGTGCTGATGTTAACGAGAATTGTAACGGAATGAGCTTCAAGGCCTACAAGAGCCGTGCATCTAGATCGATCATTGATTTGATTGGCATACTGCTTGTTCACAATTAACATAATCAAATTCACAATGTTACTCGAACGCCAGTTATGATCTGAGAATACGCAAGACGCATTCACTGGAACTTTGATTTCTACCAATTCATGCATTTAAACGACCGCTGTGCGTGAATCTCAGCATCCAGTTTAGGTTGGTGTGCGTGGAAATTGTTTCATTTACACTGCAAGAGAACTCAGAAACGAAAACCTGTTGCCATCAGTAGGTAATCGGCCTACGAAGCGACCACCAGCATCACTATTGACCATAAGTCGCCACTCAGAAAAGCCCTAAGAAATTCGTTCATCGGTTTTGGGCGGAGTGAACAACAATGAACAAGGCGGGAGGGTTGCTCAATCAACTGAATGTGTGGCAGCAAAGAAGTGGCATTAGCTGTAGGAGCGAAGCTATCTTTAATGCTACGGTAATCGACTACAAACTGCAATTGCGTTAACAAACTCAACAACATGCTGCAATCGTGTTAAGTAACCAACCGATCACAATCAGCTCTTGTGTGTATGTATGCGCTTCCTCACCGAATAACGATTTACTTTTGCAAATATCCCAACGACGGCTTAACGCCAACCAGTTTCGCCTTTCGCCTTTGGCTCATCACCCACATATGCACTCGCGCAATTAGAATGTTCATCCTGAAGGTATGATGATGATGCATGCATGCTGCTATCAATCAAGAATAATGTCTTTTTAATTAATCCTTATCAGGTGATGATAACTCATTATATCTTTTCTCTTTTGTCATTATTTGCCTTTCAACAGTGTTTATAATCTTTGTTGTTCGCGTTAGTCGTGTTGAGGTATACCATTCTTGGTTCTTCTACGCTACCGATGGTGGGAGAGAACGTTGTACACGTCGCACTTCATTCATATCAAATGGTTTTGTTCAGGAATTCATTGCTTTTGATCCCGTATTGCGCGCATATAATCACATAAATTTGTAGATTTTATAATATCTTTCCGTATGCGTTAATCACAATGAACGTGTAGCATCAAAAGAGTAGCAAGTCATTCAACTGAAAATTCATAAAAGTGATCCACTAAACTCGGTGAGTATCCTTCGGAATTAAATTCATCCTCAATCAGCGAAGTCACAGTTTGCGCTTTTTGTATTCAATTTCTAAGCTGTCTTCTATTGGTCTCCAAAGAACCATAGATTATTCATTTTATCGCTAAGAAACTATTGCTTTGAATCATAATTTACTGAGCAGTCAATAATATGCCATCAATGACAGTATACCGAAATTGAAGTTTGCCACAATTTTACTCGCAAATTTTCCACGTGCTAAGCCGTGAATTAAAATTTGAAATACTTTTGAATGATTGAAAACATTTTAGTTCTGTGATAAAGAGTTAAACGTAATTTTGATTGGATGAGTTTTGACTCTTTTCATCGCCTTTTGTCATTACTTCAAAGTTATTTCCTGCTTAAGAATATTGCTTCCATGAGATGTTATATCCTCATTTTGTCTATGCACAATACACTCAAAATCATAGTCATTTCCATCCAAATCATATCCAGCTTTTCTTGAATGCATCATTGTTTGCTCACAATAAAGTTTACTATTTGCTAACAAAACTCGTTAATTATTGTACCGAAATGATTCTTTTTCTGCAGCCCAATGCACAGCATCTGTTTTCATTGCACTGTTGTTGTGCCTTTTCAACAATCCCCAATCATCGGTCAACAACATTAGCACATAATTAAGTGTGACCTATATCCACTGACGACGTTAACGCGTCCAGGTCATTTATCTCAGATAACCGAATTATTCCATGTATCATTACCGTGAAACAGATGTCACGTAATCAATCCATTTGCAGCTACCAAAAGCATGCGGAGTTGAAAGTTAGTTAAATAGCGCAAGAGTGTATCATTATACGATTCGAGCTTATCGAATGTTTGCAAAAAGAGCAGAGTTTAATTATGAAACGAACGAGCATAAGAGAAACCAGTGCAAAACACGACTACAAATCTACATAAAACAACTAAATTTGACGTCACTTACTAATGCAGCAGATTTTTTTTTCATCTAGGCAAAAATTTTTTCGGTAGTTTTGAGATTATTTTGTCACCAACTGATATCTAGTAGAATAGTTCCATTTGCTGGATGACAAGCCGACAAACGAATGAAGAGAATCTACAATGATCTGTCCAAACATCTTCAAAACAATGTTAAGAACTCAATTTATGCATTTACCAAACTCTTGGGAATCGATGATTGTTTCAGTAGATATTTTGTGCACTTCTATGCTAAATTCGTCGATCGAATATAGTTGAATAAGGAATATGAAGTGAATTAGAAATCACACTGCTAGCATTGACACAATAGTGAATATCACTTTGTTCTGATAACAGTGCTGTGATATCATGTTACAACTAGGATATCATGTTACAATATTTTGAATATATTTTCATTCGGAAAGGATTTATTAGCTATCATTCCAGTTTACGTCTATTATTCATTTATTGGTTCGTGTAGGTTAATTGTAAGTGAAGGATTGGTTTAGATGAATCGGGCAATGCAAGTGAAGCCCGCTGATAGTGAAAGTCGTCCAAGTTCGCCAAAAAATGCCGAGGAACGGAAGTTGTTCGTCGGAATGTTATCAAAACAACAGAACGAAGACGACGTTCGAGCCCTGTTTGCACCTTTCGGAGCGATCGATGAGGTATGATAGAAGACATTTCTACTGCATCAAATTCCGTCATACTACGGATTTTTTTCTCTTTGCTTTACTTCAGAGCATTCCAATAATAAAAGTTGATTGAAGATGATTTGAAGAGTGTTAAAATGCAAATACTGTGATTCATTGTGCTATCACTTTTGAAAACTTTATCGTTCGGTGAGTTGCGGAGAGATATTGGAACAAAGTAAAATTATCGTTTACAGATGCATCTCTTCACTCTCGTCATTGCTTCATTCTTTTGGGAATATTTGTCAACTGACGAGCTTTTGATTGAACTTAGATGGAAGATAGATGTTCATTAAATTTGAGGAGGTCATAGCATTTGTGGCAAACTGCTGTAGCTTTGAGAAAATGGTTTCAATTGTTGCTAAATGAATTGCATATTTGTTGATAAAAGTACTGAAAACGAAGCGATAAGACACGAATAACGAACTGATTGATCGTTGCTTGCGCTTGTGCTTCATTCTTTAGCTGGATGTGTATGCTGAGCGGAAAATTTGATTTGTGGTACACGGTTTTGTTGCGCTGATTTACATAGAAATTTGTGAAAATATTGCTTTCGCATTTGGCATGAGACAGCGACAACTTTATTCGACTGCTAAGCAGCCAAAGGCAATCAGCCAATCAGCAACCATCCGGCATTGACTGGATCAAAATGCCCTAAACTTCAACTAGTCAATTCTCGACAGCGTTCACTAGCAACAAAATTTGCTTATTCCCTCGTTGCTGTATACGCTAATCAGTCTGAGTGAAAGTCCCTTATTTTCATGAGAGAAGCTTTGTAGGGTAATTCAAGTAACTAGCAGCTGTAAGCTAACAATTTCATTTGATTATAATTGTCTTTTTTTTCGAATGTAATCAGCACAAACGAGTGAATTGTCTCCTTTTTTTCGCAAAGCAGTTGATAAATTGGGCTTGCTGCTTAATCTTTCACTGCCACTCAACAATCACCGATGCTAGATTGAGACAGCGAAGTGCAATTACGTTATAAGTGATCTGTAAGTAACATTGATAAAGCGACAGCCATAAATATAGCGAAATTGCTGTCGTTATGAGTTAATAGCGCATTACCACTTGAGTATAGCTATCAAAGCTTTTGATGCACATGACATATTCGGTTGTGGAATGCGAATGATTGCGGTGCTTGGGTATATATTTCGTTGCTAATGTTTCAGCCGTTTTATTCCACCTACATATACCTGACTTAATGGAATTAGATCATAATGACTAGCCAATCTTAGCTTTGGCCAGCATGGTATAGAACAATTGAACTTGATTTTTGTTTTTATCATTGCTTTGAGCATCAATTCGAACAGCTTTCTGACTGATAATCGGAGCAAATAGATCAAATTAGAGTTTCAATTCAAATTATGTTTGTTTTGGAGGTATAAATTGTTTCACTAAAACGAAATACTGATAGAATAAAGCAATACGAAATGATGACGACTCATTGTTTACTGATCAGAAGCAGCAGTACTTCATGGATAAAAGAAGTTGTCGGAAACATAACGTTGCCTAATTGAATTTGTTTCCAACGAGAAATACACTTAAGTCACTTGTTCAAAATATTCACCTCTGAAGGTTCCATGTAGCAACGTTGCTTGCCTACATTGCGATGATGTACAAATTTGTTTTGCTTACGCTCATAGTTGGCGCTTCAGAACGTCATGAAACTAGTGACGTGGTTTTCTATTCATACAACCAGTAAGCTGTGAGTGCAACCATACTGTGTATTTCCAGAGAAATCAGCTTGACGCGAAAACTGAATGAATGTCACCTTAAGCCGATACTGTAATTTGATCTGTGTTGGAATTTTTTCTATTACGGTCTAGTGTGCTTTTTGCATGAATGTTTCGTTAGTGGATTGAGCGATCAAATGAACATTGTCAAAGTGATTTATGCTCTGAAGAACAGGCTCTATGTGAAGCCTTTTGTTGAATACGTATATTTTGGGTCTCGAAACAATGTAATCGAAATGGCGTCAAGCGCATTTTGGCATATGCCAGTCAGTGAATGTTTTGACGAGTGTCTTTTCGAATTATCGTCTCGAAATGCACGAAGGTTTTAACAGGGATAATTCAACGGAAAAATCATCAATATATTATTACGGAAGCGATCTTATAACATAAATGAACAATTGTATTATGCGACCGCTCCTATAATTCGCTTAAGTTTCAGTCTCATTCACTTCAACTGGACTTAGTTTTAGGCTTAGGCTAACGCTTAGACATCCGCCTACCCTATATTTCGTGTTTCGGTGGATGAGACTGCATCGGGCACATTTCAGGCAGGTGTCTCGAATTCATTTTATGGAATGCCATAAAAATGAATTTATCTCTTACGTGATTGATAGTGAGGCATACGTGTTGCATATATGAGAAATTGTTATTGGAAGGAAAGTAGTGGTAAGAAAGTGATGAAGAAGGATAATGCTGGTTTTATTCAAGTATCGATCGTGGTCTATGCGAGTATAAGGCTAGTAAAAGAGGAAGAAAAAGCATTACAGAGACGCCTAAATGAAGGAAGTAGCGATCAGAATCGCATGCATGTGTGATGCTATGAAAAGCTGCGCATTTTCTTAGATGTTTACCATTTACGATATCAACAACATTGCATTCATGCTTTAATTAGCCCGATTTGAATCAACCACAAATTCAGATGAGAATAATGCACTATTCGTGATGTTCACGCACAGATTATGCGTGGCAACTTCGTGAGAGCACAAAAACTGAAGCAAACTTTCGTTTCCTATTAATAACTGAGTTACATAGTGTTTCGACGTACGTCTGTCGCAACAAATTTCCTTTGCACTCTCAAAAAATCATTGCAATTTCTTGGAGAAGGCTTCTGCATCTGTTTAGTCAACGCAGTCTCACTCTTTAGGTTACTGTATTACGTGGTGCTGACGGTCTTTCAAAGGGATGCGCTTTTGTGAAATTCGCAGCACATTCACAAGCTGCGATGGCAATCAATGCGTTGCACGGTAGTCAAACAATGCCAGGCGCATCTTCTTCATTGGTCGTCAAATTCGCAGATACGGAAAAAGAACGTCAGCTACGGCGAATGCAGCAAATGGCTGCTCAGATGGGCCTTTTGAATCCCGTTCTCATCAATCAGGCTGGTATTTACAATGCTGCCTATCAACAGGTGACTGCTTATTATCCAAATATTATTCAAGTATTGTACCACTGACACCAATCTTATTTTCCGCTTAAATCTAATTGTGACACAGATCCACACTAGAAGCTCTAGCAGTTTTTGATGTGAACCATATAAAAATTCAGTGGTTCTATTCGGTTCATTTTCACCGAGTTGAATAATTGAACAGTGAGATCAGTTAATGGTCGTGATTGACGCAATAAAACTATGACAGTTTCGAAACTAGGTCTTGATGAAATTATTTTCAGTTGATGCAACAACAAGCCACTCTTGCTGCAGCACAATCAACCACCACTGCTGCATATTTTCCGGTAGCCGTTGCACCGCATTCAGCGGTACTGTTTTCAGCATTTCATTTGTTTGCACATATGATGATCCCATCATTGAGATGAAAGAACTATGCTTAATAGCACCGTAAATAACTACATTTTTCGGTCGTACTTATTAATGAATGTTTTTAATATTCACCAGGAAATATTAAGGCATAACAAAAGAAGAAGTTAATGTAAATTTTTGTAACACATATAATTGTAGTGTACTTTCTCAAGAACCAGAATTATGAATTCGAAAAGATAAGATTAGCGTGTAAAATACATTGATTTACGAAGAATCTTTATCAAATTAGACTAATGCGTTCAGTTGACACAAAAAAGCTGCGTATTCGTTCACAATGATAATGCATTAGAGGGAAATTTATTTATTTTGATTATGAGAGGACAACGTGACGAGTTGATGGGTGTGCGTGTTTCATGCTGAACTGATAAACAACTAGCATATTCTTTTGAGTATGTGAAACATCAAATCTACGCCATCTGTATAGTGATTACATATGAGCGCGTGCATAATCAGCTTCAAAGTCACCATCACGCAACAGTCCTTCCATCTCAATGATCTATCACTTTCACTAAACGATAAGATAGCTAATTAACAAGCCATCATTCTGTCGATCAGCCTGTAATGTTTACTGTAGAATGAGCGCTGAACTCGTTATCGCATATTTATGAACCATAGTGACCTTGTTGCGAGTTGCATTGCTATTGCTGTGATCAGAATTCAGTTTGCAAAAGCTGTCGTCATCGAATTAAGCTGAATTGATAAGAATTTGGTTTCAGCTGAGCGGTCTCACTGCTGCAAACGCAGCAGCAAATGCGGCAGCGTTTGTGAGTCCGCCTTCGTTACAACCGCTCTCGGCATTATCTTTACCTGCACAATCGACTTCGTTACAGGCACTTTCTGCCTTAGCGCAATCCTATACACCGAACGAATACGCGAATGGTGTTGCACAGTACACACGTTAGCTAATCGTTCATAATTTATCTTGTTTACTCAACTGCTAAGTTTTCACCGATTACGCATTGCCTATGCATTCATAGAAGCACTTCGTCCCGGAAAAAAATTCATTGGAACTCATGCTTTCACAAGTATCGCACTGTCAAACACGACATTTCTTGGTGTACTAAACAAGTGAAACGGATTGACTTGACTTGTGCGGTTATGGTTGGTATCAGTGATTTTCTGGACATAATAGTAACAATAAATACTTTACGATTCGTTAAAGCAAAAGCAAAACATGAGCAAGTCAGCAAATAAAAATAGTGGATATTTTCTGAACATTCTACATACAATTTCAGCACCCACAACGGTTTCAACGGCAGGTGAAACGAGTGCTTATGCACTACCGACGGCTACATATAATCAGCTCGTTAATTTTGAACAGCAAACAAGTTTGTTTTAATTTCTCATAGTTGCTCTCATTAAACTTCCTTATTTGCAAAGTGCTTAGTTTAGAGCCTTTCATTATCGACACATTTTTTCATTCAACTTTTCAATTTCGATTTACAATTTTTTTAAATCCATGTGTTTTACGCAGAAAGTATTCAGTTAATTAATTCACGAAGGAGCTACAAGCCGTTGTGTCGCCAGTGAATGAATGATATATTTATAAGTAAATGAATGTATCATTCGCCCCATTTCAGATCCCTATAATCAAGCTTTGCAACAAGCGATTGTTTTACAGCAAGCAGCTGCTCTCTTTCCCGGAACTCAAAAAGAAGGTTGGTCAGAAAACTCGTTTGAATCTCATCAGAAAGGAGGTGATGAATGATTTATTGGTGAACGATTCATAAGTTGATCGGCTGAATCATTCAGTAACAAAATTTCAGTGATTCAATCGTTGCCTCTCTATCTATTGTGAGCATAGCTTTATGCAGCATTACCTAAACGATTCATACGCTTATTTTGCTGTGACACGAAGATGCATATTCGTAGCGCAAAAATTATCGTATCGATTCAGATCTGACTAATTAAGAGAACATAATCAAACGTACAGAATACAAAATGCTTATGCGCATTAGCTGTTCTTTTTGAACAGTACGATAAGATATGCACTTGATGGTATCGCAGAAAAGAACGAAAACATTTTCAAAACGTTCATTAGAAAGGCGAAAGTGAATAACTGAAGTGGATGTTCTCGATAACATGTCAAATAGGATAACTCTGCCTCAATTTTTAATCGTTACAACTGAATTAATTGAACTACAACGATAGTATTACTGAACGGAACATTGAAAGTGTTTCTTCGATGGCACCTTCGATATTTTTAAATAAAAAATTTAAAAATACCGAGGTTAAGAAATTCGGTATTTTAAAAAGAAGTTAAAACTTTGAAATGTTTGAAAAAATTATGCATTAAAAATTTGGTATTTCAAATCAGATCGTTTTGAAGTTCTTGGACCAGAAGGCTGTAATTTGTTCATCTATCATTTGCCGCAAGAGTTTGGTGATACCGAACTTATGCAGATGTTCATGCCATTCGGTCATGTTATTAGTGCTAAAGTGTTCATCGATCGTGCAACGAATCAGAGCAAATGTTTCGGTAATTAGTGTTTTCATCTTAATTTTACCGATTTTTGTATTTATGACAAAAACTGGTCGTGAAATATCGCTTGTTTATCAGTTGTCACTGTTGTTATTTTATAAAAGCAAACAATCAGATTAGGATAGCTATACAGTAATGAGTCAGCTTATTGGAATTCTGTTTCTATGGATAACCCATTTTCAAGTGATTCAACAGCATCAACTTCCACGTAGTTTCTCTTTACTCTAGGTTATCACTAAGAAACAGTTCTCTCGAACCACTCTTCTTCATCGGATCCTGCGTCCATAACCAATACCTGGCCCAATTGAACTGTTCAATGAACTTCTTTTTCCGAATTGGGTATCGTGAGCCAAAAAATTCGTGCTGAGATGAAGATAGGCTAGAAAATTGCCTTCACAACAAAATCGGCATCTTGCAACACCCGTTAGATAAAGCAATGCATTTTGTGCTTTTTTTGTTGCTGAAGTGTCGTCTTCTTCTGGTGTGGTGGGTTTGCATGCACTTGGAAATCCTTGCAAACATGCATAGAACCACCTTGAGAATATTTCGCAAAACTCATCTTCCAAATATTTTTGCCACTCGCTCAGCAAAGGGGTTCGGTCAAATTTGTACGATGAACTTTGGTAGTGTAATTCTGAAAGGACAGTGAACAACTTCAAATTTATAGCAAACCCGAAGTCGATGAAAAACTCATGAATATAAACATTTGAGCCATCAAACGTGAAAGCGTTGAACAAAGCAATATTTGACATTGTTTTGGTTGCTTGTTGTACGCGTATGTGTTGTGAAGGTATTTTTTCTAGTGAATCAATGTTGTTGAGCTGTATATTGATATGATGGGCATTTCAATCACATTCTTTTCAGTTCCAATTAGTTGTTCGTCCTCATCATAGAAAAGATAGTGATTCAGTTAAAATTTAGTCTCAAATCGAAACACCTGAATATCGTACATATGGATCCATTCTTGTGCATGTGTACAATAACGGTCATAAGTTATACCAACTGTTCCTATTAACAACGATGAAAGTTTTTGCTAAATCTTTGATGCTCTTAACAAGAATTGTGGTTTCGATATTGTGATAGAATTTTCAACTGTCGATTGGATAGCACCATAAGAACACTAAAGGAAACTGATCATAGATTATGAAGTATGGATATGCTAATAAATCTAAAAATGAAACTCTCAGAGATAAGGTTTCGTTTGAATTGTTGTTAAGTGAAGTGTTGTTTACGTGCGCAATCGTACTCAGTGATGTTCAGGCTTCATCTCGTACGACAATACAGCTTCTGCGATGGCAGCAATTCAAGCGATGAATGGCTTCCAGATTGGCATGAAACGCCTGAAAGTGCAACTGAAACGTCCGCGAGATAAACCGTATTGAAAATGCACAAACACACAGTGACAGTGTCTGTTCGTATTGTGTCTCAGTGCGGTTCCTCGGTTCACTGCATTTGCAGTATCACAGCCATCAATCGAAAATCATAGATAATAATCACTGCGGTTGAGAATATATTCGAGCTTCGTTCAAATCACCTATCAAATGAATTGTTTAGGAAAAAAAACGTTTGAATGAAGTGGTAAAGAAAGACCTAGAAGCATTAACTGTACATCTTTATGAATATTTGAGGAGGAGTGTGCTATTTACATTCATAAAATGATTTCTATAGTAAGCACCTCTATCCTTACGGTGGCTAATCTGCAATGTTAGGGTTGGTCACTTCTTAAAACAGTGGTCATTTGGCTTCCTGTTGAACTGCAAGAGACGAATAAGTGATTCAACGACTCAACTTTCACGTTCGTTTTTAAGTCCTATTTCGGAAGTAAAAATTCTTCACTCGTTAATGCAAGTATCACTAGCCAAAACAGGTTATAGAATGTTCCCTTCATGACCTCCACCAAATCTGAGTAGTCAGTTCAGTTGATACAGAAAAATATCACAACACCATGATGTTTAGTCAACATCCTTCTTCGGGATACGGCTGATTTCATAAACTTCCTTCCGCATTTCTACACGAAACAAAGGAACGTCTATAACCCGTTTAGGTATAGGTAATATTGATAGTAGTGAAATGTAGCGAAGCAAAATTATAACTATCTCAATCGATTAAGATGAGAAGATATCCAAAAACTGAAACAATCTAAAACAAATGGCAGTGAAATTGCACTAGCAGTGATACTGTAGTGGTTACTTTTGTAGGAGTTCGCATCACTTTCTTTTGTATGGTGCATGTGTTGGAGTTGTGCGAGAATTATTCTTCATTTTGAATTTATTATCGATCGTCGTCATTATCATTACTATTATTATCATCATTATTTTGGCTTTGTTTACGTGAAATTGTTATTGTTTGTTGATTTGTGCCAATCAATATTTAGCATTTTCTATTGATCAACAATCAATCGGTCATTTAAAGTTGAAACGAATCGGCGAGTCAGTCTGCACTACTAGATATCTGATTATCAGCTCAAACAACGGAACCACACAAATAAGAATGAGCTAATGAATAGATTTTTATTTAATCACTGAAAGTGTGTTGTACGGTAATGTGTGTTGTATATGTGAAAAATTGATCAAAACCTTTTCGCACGTATCGTCTCTTTCTCTACGCTCTTGTATTCTTTCGGTTGTTAATATCTTCGTTTAGTTCTCAGCCGCCTCTCTTCGCCGCAGTGTGTGCACGAATGTTCCTCGCATGCATCTTTACCGAACACTCAAAACAATAAAATGATTTTAGATGAAAACAATTGAATGTGAATAAGACCACTGATATTTTAAAGTTTGTTGTTAGAGTACTTTCGGAAGATATGAAATTATGAAATTGATGAATGTTTTTAGTTGATTGTGCGCTCACTGGCCGCTATCGTTTCAGGTTCCTCGACTGAACGCACCAAAGGTACTTCGTCATCCATTCCAGTTGTACAAAGCTGATCTCTGTTTCTAGTCAACAGTTTTGATGTTTTCCTTTTTTCTGCTTGTTTATTGTAACGTTTCCTCCTCTTGAAGCAGTTATCCATTTGCTTGCATACTTTATCAGATCCACCTGATATTTTATGAAACTCTTTTTGAAGTTAACGAATGAATCCTACAGATTTCCATTTGGTGATAGAACTCCTTTTCGGATCGTTGGGATACGATCTGAGAAAATGAGACTGTTTAGTTGCGGAGGAAATGCTTCAGTACAATTTATATTTGTCAAAGAGTGGTAATTATTTTGTTCTGATTAGACCGTCTATCGTTTGCTGAAAGAAGATTTACAACCATCGTTCATTCGCTTAGCAAATTCTTGCCATCTTGGTGTGTTGAGTTGATGGTTCTGCCATTAAGAGTATACATTTTTGATACACTGTTCACTTTCTAAGAAATACTTATTAAGCCATTAATGATTCTACCCATTTCTCGTTACTGCCGGAAAATATTATTCATCAAAACTGCGATATCACAGAAAATTCAAAATTCACCTCGATCCCAAGAATTGTTTTTTTGTGAATATTTTATAGAAAGTCTCATTTCTGATGCGATTTTTGCCCGAAATTTTCAATCATCCTTGAGTTTAGTTTTATATGCATTAAAAAATTCATTTGTTCATAATTTCAACGATTCATCAGCTTCTTTTACATGCACTCTTATTAGTTACCCTTTGACTAGTCTCATAGTATTTTTGGTTTTTCAGAAACTTTTTCTCATCAGTTCATTTATTGTTGTACAGTAATGCCTTATTTCCGGTGAGTCAGCAAAGAAAAAATTACTTATGAGATCGATGGATTTAAGGTACTACGTCTCTATGGCTATTCTCTTTTACTATTGTTTCGCGATGTTTTTTATTGAATATAAGCGGTAACTTTGTTTGCTCGTAAAGTTTTCTGATAACTTACGCAAGCTGTTTGAGTTTATTTGATTTTCCAAGCTTCTTCAAAACATATTTTCGTGCGTTTGAGTTTGCACTAAATTGCCTATTACTATTTCAAGTAAAATGGAACTGTATTCGTTGGTGAAGTGAATTCACCTTCAACATATTTAGCTTTTTTCATGAAAGACACATTTGTGACTCATAAAATATATTTGATATTTTTTCACTTGAATATTGCTCGTGAGCGAGCATGTAGTCGTTGAAGAACGAAGAATTCAATTGTGAATTGAGTTCCTGTAAACAAAAAAAGGCATGCAAATGATGTTTGTGAATAGATCACTAATGTTGATTCTGCGTATATATTTGTGATTTTGTAAAGAATTTTAATTCATTTGATACTCTTTGTTTGAATTCTCTTGCTGATAGCTAAATTCTATCTTATTTTCGAAAAGTGTAAAAACAAACTTTATTTTAGGAAATAATGAAAGTTTCTGTGAGATACTGATGTATTAACAAGGAATTCAAATAAATTAAAATACTCATGAAGATTAGGTTCCAAAAATTGTATTTCTTTATCGCCATTGTTGTTTGTTTTTTTATTCCTGTTTTTATTCATTTATTGTTCATGTATTTATTTGTATATTTATTTATTTAGTGAATAATACGATAATTTATTCGATGATCGAATATCTTACTACCAGCGTATCATGTTACTTCAGCTTCATTGATCTCAGATGTGTACAGTTTTAATTATCTTATTTCGTATGATATTCCTAACATTTTGTTCTACTTGATAAAGATTAAATAATTCTTCGGTTATGTATGCGTGCATCAACCATTCGTTTGTGCCATTACCTTTCATCAACGAAATTTTGTAAATGAATGCTGACCGATCGTATTTTGCTTTTGTACCAATCATAATTTACCTTGCAACCTTGCATATCTTGCAACCGTAAAAAGTATACAGTATTTCAGCCAAAATTTCCATTTTTCAGCAATGCAGCATAATAAATTCAAGGTTGAGCTAACGAAACGCATCGAATTGATGCTACTGTTCCGGGGTTATTCTACTGAGCATTCGCTTTTTAGTGCGACCATTCAGTATGGCTCCACAGTGAACGATTTCTTTACACCCTTAAACTGTATGCATATTTATCAGTCACTGTACTACTATAAGGCTGTTATGCGTACCATTTTCCAACTTATCCTTAAGTTTACCCGGCAACACCATTGTTTCTTAGTATAGTCGGATTCAACAGATTCTGAGCTTTCAGAATAGCGTGGATGTTGTCGAGGTATTTTGATTAGTTGGGAGATATAACTGATTTTGTATAGATATGTCAAACTACTTGAGCCATTCTAGAATGCAGTCAGACTCGGAACATTTGATCTCTGTTGTGTGATCAATGATACACTTCTACAGGAATATCTCGAGTACCATATTCAAACCAGCTGTATTCTCAAGTTTGCGCATCAGCACCATTGTTTCTCGGTACAATCGGATTCAGCAGATTCTCATCATTCCGGAAAAGTGTATGTGTTGATGAGCGATTTTGCATATTCCCATTAAATATAGCCGAATTGAGGTGGGTATGTCATATAGCTGAACGAATTCTTTACACCTTGAAACGGTACACATTTGATCAATATATCTATCAGTCACTGCACCACTATAGGGCTATCATGCGTACCATTTTCAAATCAGCTGTATCCTTGAGTTTACACAGCAACACGCGAGTTCCTTACAAAACCGACTTCAGAAGATACTCCCTTACAATAATTTGCTATTTCCACGGATAACGTCAGGAGAAATTCGGAAATCAGTCCGGGCATTCCTCAGTGACGTGAAAGAAATTAATTTTTTGGAATGAAACAAGTATTTTAAGAACATTGCGGAAAGAATGTGAACCTCAGCAATTAGAAACTAAAAGAAATATTAGTCTGCCGGCCCCCTTATTTACTCCATTAACAACCCT